TGGGGAAAGTGTGGGCAAATAGAGGGTGTGCCCTACTCATAATAGGGATCATCCTGTAGCTCATCCCCCAAAACAGTGTCTGGCATGTAGTAGGTGCTCAATAAATGTGTGTTGAGTCTATGACTGAATCCCTCTTTGGGCAGGATGGCAAACAGAAGTACCATAAGACATGGAAAAGCTTTCATTTTATTGAATAAATATGCTTGTGGACACAGACATACTAGGATATGTCCAATAGAGATAGGATAGTCTTATATGTATATAAAACATATAGGACTGGAGGCTGGAGTGCAGTGGCGTGATCTCGGCTCACTGCAACCTCTGCCTTCTGGGTTCAAGTGATTTTCTTGCCTCAGCCTCCTGAGTAGCTGGGACTACAGGCATGCGCCACCACGCCCAACTAATTTTTGTATTTTTAGTAGAGATGGGGTGTCACCATGTTGACCAGACTGGTCTCGAACTCCTGATCTCAGGTGATCCAGCCGCCTCGGCTTCTCAAAGTGTTGGGATTACAGGCGTGAGCCAGCGCACTGAACCTGTGATAAGCTTTTGAAAATAAATATCTTTTCCTTCAACATTAAAAGTAATACATAAAGTCTGCTGGTTTTTTTTTCCTAGTGTGGAATAATATAAATTTAAAAGTAAAAGAGATTTCTTACGCTATCACTCTGCAATGAATCAGAAGAAAATTCTGTATGTGATAGGAAGAACAAAGCCTGCAGACTTCTTGTTCAGAAATAGGCCCTGAACGGTCTCCTGTGGTAACACCTGTCCCTGGTTGTCTAGCCTGACAACTCTGCTATTAAAATTATCCTTGAGTTAAATACTGAAAGCAGACCTGTTAAGTCTAAGAACTACTCTTAAACTATTACTTTATTTATTTATTTATTTATCTGAGACAAGGTCTCACTCTCTTGCCTGGGTTGCAGTGTAATGGCACAATCATTGGTCATTGCAGCCTCAAACTCCTGGGCTCAAGCAATCCTCCTGCCTCAGCCTCCTGAGAAGCTGGGACTACAGGCAGGTGTCAGCTAATTTTCTTAGTTTTCGTTGAGATGGGGTCTCACTATATTGCCAAGGCTAGTCTTGAACTCCTGCCCTCAAGAGATCCTCCCACCTCAGTCTCTCTCATACTGGGATTACAGGACTGAACCACCATGCCCAGCCTAAATATTACTGTTACAAGAAAGGGGCCCCAATCCAGACCCCAAGAGAGAGTTCTTGGATCTTGTGCAAGAAAAAATTCAGGGCAAGTCTGTAAGAGTAAAGTGAAAGCAAGTTTAAGAAGGTAGAGGAATAGGCCATGCGTGGTGGCTCACGCCTGTAATCCCAGCACTTTGGGAGGCTGAGGTGGGCCCATCATCTGAGGTCAGGAGTTCGAGACCAGCCTGACCAACATGGTGAAACCCCATCTCTACTAAAAATGCAAAAATTAGCTGGTTGTGGTCTGGTGCCCGTAATCCCAGCTACTAGGGAGGCTGAGGCAGGGGAATTGCTTGAACCCAGAGGTGGAGGTTGCAGTGAGCTGAGATCATGCCACTGTACTCCAGCCTAGGTGACACAGTGAGACTCCATCTCAAAAAAAAAAAAGAAAAAAGAAAGTAGAGGGATAGAATAATGGCGCTCATTGCCCATTTTTGTGGTTATTTCTTGATGATATGCTAAACAAGGGGTGGATTATTCGTGCTTCCCCTTTTTAGACCATATAGGGTAACTTCCTGATGTTGCCATGGCATTTGTAAATTGTCATGGCACTGGTGGGAGTGTAGCAGTGAGGGAAGACCAAAGGTCACTCTCATCACTATCTTGGTTTTGGTGGGTTTTAGCCAGCTTTTTTATTGCAACCTGTTTTATCAGCAAGGTCTTTATGACCTGTATCTTGTGCCGACCTGCTGTCTCATCCTGTAACTTAGAATGGCTTAACCGTCTGGGAATGCAGCCCAGTAGATCTCAGCCTCATTTTACCCAGATCCTATTCAAGATGGAGTTGCTCTGGTTCACATGCCTCTGACATTACTTTGAAGGAAAGGATGTTTCTAACCAGTTTTCTTTTTTGAGATAGAGTCTCGCTCTATTGCCCAGGCTGGATTGCAGTGGCATTATCTCGGTTTACTGCAAGCTTCCCATCCTGGGTTCACGCCATTGTCCCGCAGTCTCCCGAGTAGTCGAATAGCTGGGACTACAGGCGCCCGCCACCACGCCTGGCTAATTTTGTTTTTGTATTTTCAGTAGAGATGGGGTTTCACCGTGTTAGCCAGGATAGTCTTGACTAACCAGTTTTCTTAAGCAGCCTGCCCAGATTCCTAAATGTGCTATCATGTAATCTTGGGGACATTCAGCCTTCTGTAGAGAGGTAATAAATACAAACTTGTTGGGAGTGGGGAGGGTCTCAGGAAGAATATTCTCCAAATGGAGCCTAGGGCAGAAGGCACTGACACAGAAAGTCAGGCCCGGGCTTCTAAGGAGGAGAAGGAACCGCAGCAGTGCAGCTAGAGCAGCATTCACCGCGGTGAGGGGTAAGGCAGAATTTATTCCTGTTCCCTTATCTGTTGTTTCCTGTGACTTTTCTTCTATCACACTATATCCTCCATTTTGCAAGTTGATTTAGAACAAAACAAAACAGAAAGATCTCACTAAGAGCCTGAAAACAAGTCTAAAGTTCTGAAGACAGTGATTTATGTTTACTCTATTACCTTAGAAGATTGGGGGTTCAGACTGGGCACAGTGGCTCACACCTGTAATCCCAGCATTTCGGGAGGCTGAGGCAGGAGAATAGCTTGAACCCAGGAGGTGGAGGTTGCGGTGAGCTGAGATCGTGCACCACTGCACTCCAGCCTGGGTGACAGAGTGAGACTCTGTCTCAAAAAAAAAAAAGATTGGGGGTTCAGACTGGGCACAGTGGCTCACACCTGTAATCCCAGCATTTCGGGAGGCTGAGGCAGGAGAATAGCTTGAACCCAGGAGGTGGAGGTTGCAGTGAGCCAAGATGGCGCCATTGCACTCCAGCCTGGACGACAGAGCAAGACTTTGCCTCAAACTCCCAAAATGCTGGAATTACAGGTGTGAGCTACTGTTCCAGCTTTGTGTGCCCTTTTATAAATCTGCAAAGGATTGTGTGTAGTAATCTACATCACGCAGATTCTTGATAAGTGTGGCTAATTGTTCAGGCACCCTGCGGCTAACATTTTTGCTCAAACCTCACTCAGGCAGTTTGTCTTTACAACGATCCACATCTCTCTTGTCTTTGTCAACCATTTCAGTTCTCTTCCTCCAGGGGCCTGTTTTCTTCCTGCAGCTGGGATCTCCTTCTGTTATGTGAAAGTTGATCTGACTATTTAAAATGTCACTCCTGCCAAGGAGATGTACATAAGAGGATTTCTGTAGAGGATAAGGAATGATCTGATTATTTAAAATATCACTCCTGCCAAAGGAGTTGAATAAGAGTATTTCTACAGAGAGGAATCAATCTGTTATGAGAGTTTCAGGCATTTTGGCATCTTGAGTGCTGGGCAGGGTTTGTAGATTTTGGAGCAGAACTCAGATCATATGTGATTGTGTGTCTTGTGCTAACGAGCTCAGCCTTTTCTGATAGTTCATTCACTCTTCTGTCTTTGAAACCATCACATTGTATATATCCAAGTTTGGGGTTTATATGCCTCTTCCTCCTCCACCACCTAAACCGAGAGCTGTCTTGAGGCCTGAGAGCCTGCCTTGTTTATCTCTGAAAGCCCAGGGCTTGGCACAGAGCCTGGAAACCAATAGAAACATAACTCATGTTGATTAAATGAATAGTCCAGGTCGTACATCTATTATCCTCTTACAGTTTTGTCAAGGATTTGTTTCACAACTTTTCCATTTTGATAAAATTATGAAGTCATTTCCACAAATCTTAATTGTGTCATAGCCAATTAGAAAAGGGTAAGAATCTAGAAGGTAAGAGAGGATGAATGTGCATTTAAATTATTTATTAAAAACTGGCCGGGATGGCCAGGCACCATGGCTAACGCCTGTAATCCCAACACTTTGGGAGGCCGAGGTGTGTAGATCACCTGAGGTCAGGAGTTCAAGATGGCGAAACCTTGTCTCTACTAGAAATACAGAAATTACCCGGGTGTGGTGGCGGGTGCCTGTAATGCCAGCTACTTGCGAGGCTGAGGCAGCAGAATTGCTTGAACCCGGGAGGCGGAGGTTGCAGTGAGCCAAGATGGCGCCATTGCACTCCAGCCTGGACGACAGAGCAAGACTTTGCCTCAAACAATAAATAAGTAAATAATTTAAAATTGTTTGGTAATGTCAGCACTTGTAATTGGATCTTTCCTATCGGGCTGCAAGTCATATGAAGTAGTTTTATAAAGACTGTTGGTAATGTTATGGTTTTATTTTGAATTTGAATGGTATTACTATATTACCATCCAGAGAATTATTTGCATTCATACTCACAGAAAATTGGTTTTTATTTTCTTTTTAAAGAAAACTGAACTGAGGAAAATGGTATTTTCCTCAAGAAGACTACTGGAACTGGATGACCTCAGAATGAACTGGATTGTGCTGTTGACAAGAAAATCTTAGTTTGTGATGATTACATTGCTTTTTTTGTCCAGTAGTTTGGTTTGTGTACATATATACACATATATATTTTGCACTACACAAGCGATAACATTTTAAGGACTAATATTGCTGATACTTGAATAATCAATCTCTGCTAGGTTATAAGTAGTATATACAGATTTACCCTGCCCTTGAACTTGAAGGACATTAAATTATTAATGATCATTTGGTAACAAGTTTACCTGATTATCTTCCATAGAGTAACATAAGCTGCTTTTCAAAGGTACCATTGTGATAATGAGATCAAATTTATAAGTTATTATTTTTAATTTTCTAAATTAAAGAAAGAATGCAAACCAGGAGTGAATTTCAAATGAGATGTAATTAACTTCATATCTTAGTCACGGAGTCGCCATGCCACGTAGTAGAAAACCACAGGAAGAAACGTCATATTCACTTTGTGGGCTGTGCATATTCTTTCTTGGGCGTTCACAACTCTTGAGTTTGGTGTTCCAGGCATCATTATTAAAAAGCAGAGTCCTATGTACCAGACTGAATTTTTATAAATGATTTGCAGACTAGACATAACGCGCCGATGGAAATGGTGAAGAATGAGCTTCATGTAGGTTTAAAAGTGTATTCTGAGCCTGTAGATGATTAATGAGGTTTTTATTCAACCATACAAATGTATTCCTTTGTAATCATTTTTCTTTAACTGAGGATATCTAGTGTCTGCTTCATAGGGTGCTTTGAAATATAAAATGAAAACTTATTTTTACTGTTTTTACAGCAGTCAAAAAGGAAACACATGAAAATCACTTTTGTGCAACTGATGAACTATACAGACTGGACTCTTAACCTCTTAGTGCCTCAGTTTTTCCTTCGGGGTATACTATTTTAGATACACCTACTTCACAGGAGTACTGGAGGGATTTGCAAGCTAACGGGCCAAATGCTTCCGTAGGAATAAGGCATGCCTAACTAACAGAAATTTAAGTCCCTCTTCCCCACCTCTCTCATCTAGACCAAAAAGAAGACTATAATTTAGATCCTTGGAGACTTCTCCTGTATGCCTTCCAAAACTTCCTGCTCAGTATGTACCTTGTGCTTTGAAGATTTCTTTGATTCACTCTTTGTAGCAAATAATTTTTTTTTTTTAAACGGAGTTTCTCTCTTGTTGCCCAGGCTGGAGGGCAATGGCGCAATCTCGGCTCACTGCAACCTCCACCTCCTGGGTTCAAGCGATTCTCCTGCTTCAGCCTCCCAGGTAGCTGGGATTACAGGCGTGCACCACCATGCCTGGTTAATTTTGTATTTTAGTAGAGACGGGGTTTCTCCATGTTGATGAGGCTGATCTCAAACTCCCAACCTCAGGTGATCTGCCTGCCTCAGCCTCCCAAAGGTCTGGGATTACAGGTGTGAGCCATTGCGCCTGGCCTGTAGCAAATAATTCTTAAGCATTTTCAAGATGTATGATGCTGGGTTTAGCATCATATGTTCAGAGTGTTTTAAATAAGAAAGAATTAATCTGTCTTTAGTATACAGGATGGTTCTTTGTTTGCCTGAAAAGTATAAGAATACAATTTACTTTTCCCAAACCCTTTTTTCCTTATTTTTTTCTTTCAGATAACTTTAATTATTTAATCCCACACTGATTAAAATATGTCTATCTAAAGGGATCTACTACTATTTGCTTTTAAAAAAGTGTTCCCTATTTATTTAGGAAAAAGTGAAAGAAGCAACTGAATTTATATGTAAAAATAACATTTAGACCCGTGGATCAAAGATTATTTTTAAAAATTAGATATTAATTTGGTATCAGTAAAAAGTGGCTTTTCTCTTAGTATATACATAAATAAAATGAAAATTAAGAGTATAAGCAGTTGTGAATCATTACAAGCAGTCTGGGATAACTAACTCCTAGGGATAACCATTTCTATCCTGTTCCAAAGTCTTATTTTATAGTTTGAAAAGCACTTTGCACACAGTTCTTGTATATAAAAGTAAAGATGTAATTATAGGATATAGTGTTCTTGCTTTGTTTAATAAGAACCTCATTTAAACTTGACAGCTATGGTATTTTTTTAATGATCAAGTTCTTTTCTGTTTATTGTAAAACTAAGTTAAAAATAAAAGGTTAATGAGAAATGATATGGCTTTTATTACTTGTTACTGTTAGCCCATTGATTAGGTAAGAATTCAATGAGAGTAAGTAGCAGTCGCACATAAAGTAATTATGACTCTCAAAATAACGCCATGCTATTCCATACAATTTGATAAAAATCAGAAACTGGGATGAAATTTAACTTAGTCATCTAGTTGAGAATATTAGCAATTCAGTCAGATTCTTGGTTTTACTTTTTTTTTTTTTTGAGACAGAGTCTCGCTCTGTCGCCAGGCTAGAGTGCAGTGGCACAATCTCAGCTCACTGCAACCTCCGCCTCTCAGGTTCAAGCGGTTCTCCTGCCTCAGCCTCCTGAGTAGCTGGGACTACAGGCGCACGCCACCATGCCCAGCTAAGTTTTGTATTTTTAGTAGAGAGGGGGTTTCACCATGTTGTCCAGGATGATCTCCATCTCTTGACCTCGTGATCCACCCACCTCAGCCTCCCAAAGTGCTGGGATTACAGGAGTGAGCCACCGCGCCCAGCCGGTTTCAGTTCTTATACCAAATAAATAGCTTCCCACAGCCACACAGTGAACCCTAATCAACCATCTTATTATTATTATTATTTGAGATGGAGTCTTGCTCTGTCGCCCAGGCTGGATTGCAGTGGTATGATCTCGGCTTACTGCAACCTCTGCCTCCCCGGTTCCAGTAATTCTCCTGTCTCAGCCTCCCACATAGCTGAGATTACAGGCAGCCACCACCACACCTGGCTAATTTTTTGTATTTTTAGTAGAGATGGGGTTTTGCCATGTTGGCTAGGCTGGTCTTGAACTCCTGACCTCAGGTGATCTTCCCGCCTCTGCCTCCCAAAGTACTGGAATTACAGGCGTGAGTCACTGCACCCAGTCCTGATCAACCATCTTAAATACACATCTCTGGTCTTATGTGGAAAATGATGAGAGGTTTTTTTTTTTTTTTAATTGAGACGTAAGTTTTGCTCTTGTTGCCCAGGCTGGAGTACAATGGTGCCATCTTCGCTCACTGCAACATCTATCTCCTAGGTTCAAGTGATTCTCCTGCCTCAGCCTCCCAAGTAGCTGGGATTACAGGCATACGCCACCACGCCCAGCTAATTTTTTGTATTTTTAGTAGACACAGGGTTTCTCCATGTTGGTCAGGCTGGTCTTGAACTCCCGACCTCAGGTGATTTGCCCACCTCAGCCTCCCAAAATGCTGGGATTACAGGTGTGAGCCACTGCACCCGGCCTGGGTTTTATGTTTTTAATACCCATCTATGACTTGTAATTTCTACAGAATGATAAAAGTGATGTATCATTTAAGGTATCATTATTCTGCTGCATGTAATAGAAACCCAACTGTGGTGGCTTGACCAAGTAACTAGGTCTTTTCCTTCGATATAATTCTGGAGATAGAAGTCCAGGGCTGGGAAGGTGCTTCCACAATGCCGTTAGGTAGACAGGCTCCTCCTGTCTTTCTTTCTCCCATCTGTAGTGTGTAGCCTTTGTCTTCATGCTTGCAAGATAGTGAAGTACATTTAGATCTAATGTCTACGTTATAGGCAGGCACAGAGTGAAGCACAGAAGGCAATTAACAGTTGTATTTTTCCACCTGATCAGGAAATAGTAACTTTCTCAAAAGTCCCACCTAGGAGACTCCTCACATCTCATTGGCTAGAACTGGCTCTCATAGTTATATTTTTGTATACAAAATTATTTAATCACTTCTCAGCCTTTTGGCTAAGATAAAGGGGTAGTATCAATTCTTATTAGTACAGTATCTTTTTTTTTTTTTCTTTTGAGACAGAGTCTCGCTCTGTTGCCCAGGCAGGAGTGCAGCGGCGTGATCTCGGCTCACTGCAACCTCCGCCTCCTGGGTGCAAGCGATTCTCTTGCCTCAGCCTCCTGAGTAGCCAGGATTATAGGCACCAGCCACCTTGCCTGGGTAATTTTTTGTATTTTTAGTAGAGACGGGGTTTTTCCATGTTGGCCAGGCTAGTCTTGAACTCAGGTGATTCACTTGCCACTGCACTCCAGCTTGGGAAATAGAGCAAGACACACACACACACACACACACACACACACACACACCCCCAAAGAGAAGGAAGGAAAGAGAGAGTGAGAGAGAGAGAGAGGGAGGGAGGGAGGAAGAAAAGAAAGAAAAACAAAAAAAGAGAAATTTCCTCTTTACTATGTGTTGAAGGGAACTTTTTTTTTTTTTTTTTTAAGAATCTCACTCTGTTGCCCAGCAGGCTGGAGTATGCAGTGGCGCAATCTCGGCTCACTGCAACCTCCGCCTCCCGGGTTCAAGCAATTCTCTGCCTCAGCCTCCTGAGTAGCTGGGATTACATAGGTGCCCGCCACCACGCCCAGCTAATTTTTGTATTTTTAGTACAGACAGGGGTTTCACCATATTGGCCAGGCTGGTCTTGAACTCTTGACCTCATGATCTACCTGCCTCAGCCTACCAAAGTGCTGGGATTACTGGCGTGAGCCACCGCGCCTGGCCTGAAGAGAACTTTTTATACCTACATAAAATCAGGCAAGGGAGTAGCAATTATTTTTAAAATTTTACTCATCACCCTTTCCCCTCTCTTCTGTCCCCTCCCATCTTCCCTCTTCCTCTTCCACCAGAATCCAGTGATTCTGGGGATGCTGCTAAATGGAACACCCAGCTATGTCCATTGCTGCCCCATCGCGACTCACAGTAACGGACATGTGACTCAACCTGGTCAACTTATATCCCATTCTCATGACCACAGTGATATCCCGGTGATGGGCATAGAACCAGCAGTTACTCTCTGGGATTTATTTCATGGAACTAGGAGAGGGAGTGTTTAAGCCACCCCACCTCCAGCCCCCATTAGACTTTTTAAAATTATTTTTTTTCACAATCCCTACTTTGGATGTAGACTTTAAAAAAAAAAATGTGTCAAGGAATGTATCCACTTCTTGTAGGTTTTCCAGTTTTTTGGCATATATTCGTTCCCAGTAGTCTGATGCTTCTTCAGATTTCTGCGGTATCAGTTGTAATGTCTCCTTTTTCATCTTTGATTTTATTTACTTAGGTATTCCTTTTTCTTAGTCTGGCTAAAGGTTCGTTGATTTTGTTTTCAAAGTAAACCAAGTTCATTTTTAAAAATCTTTTGTATTTTGGGGGGTTTCAGTTTCATTTGTTTCTGCTGTTATCTTATTATTTCTTCTACTAATTTGCAGTTTGTTTTTGCTTTTCTAGTTAAGATGTGTTGTTAGGTGTTTATAGATTTTATTGTTATTTATTTATTTTTTGAGACAGAGTTTCCCTCTCGTCACCCAGGCTGGAGTGCAGAGGTGCGATCTCTGTTCACTGCAACCTCTGCCTCCTGGGGTTCAAGTGATTCCGCTTGCCTCAGCCTTCTGAGTAGCTGGGATTACTAGCGCCACCACCACACCCAGCTAATCTTTTGTATTTTTGGTAGAGATGGGGTTTCACCATGTTGGCCAGGCTGGTCTTAAACTCCTTACCTCAGGTGATCCACCTGCCTCAACCTCCCAAAGTGTTAGGATTACAGGCGTGAGCCACCGCATCTGGCTACAGACTTTATTTTTCAGAACTGTTTTAGGTTTACAACAAAATCAAGTGGAAAGGGGAGTTCCCATATTCCACCCTCCTCTCCCCACTGCCCCATCTGCACAACCTTTTCCACCGTCAACATCTGGTGGAGTGGTGCATTTGTTTCATCTGATGAACCAACATGGACATATCGTTACTATCGGGCTCATTCTTAGTGCACATCCTATGAGTTTTGACAAATTTAAAATACGTATCCACCATTATATCATACAGAGTAGCTTCACTGCCCTAAAAAATCCTCTGTGCTCCACCTAGTCATCCTTCCCTGCTAACTTCTGGCAACCAGAGATCTTTTTACTGTCTCTATAGTTGTGCCTTTTCTACAGTGTCATATATTTGGAATCATACAGTGTGTCGCCTTATCAGACTGGCTTCTTCCAGTTAGTAATATGCACTTAAGATTCATCTGTGTCTTTTCATTGTAGTTCATTTCTTCTTAGCACTGAATAATATCCCATTATATAGATGTGCCTGTTTATTCATTCACCTGTTGAAGGAAGAGTGTAAAATATCTTGCAGACATACCGTTTTTATTTGGAGGTGTCCAGCTGGTTTCTTGAATTCTTTTTTTGGGTGTCTCACAGACATCTCAAACTTACCCATCCTGTCCCTCATGCCAGTTCAGGGTGTAGCACCACAATCGACCCAACTGCTCAAGCCAGAAGTTTGGTGTCAAATGTGGCTCCTCCATTCTCTCACCTGCCTCAGCCCATGTATCAGTAAAGTCCTGTTGCTCCTGCCTCTAAAATATGTCTTGAACCCAGGTGGGCTGGTGCAGAAGCCTTTTATTCAGTCTCCTTCCTTCAAATATTGTCCCGTACAATACACTCTCCACATAGTTAAAAGAATGACTCACCACGGTTGACTTGGTATTAATCGAAAGACCTAGTGTAAACAATAAATATTTGTACTATATTCTGGACTCTCAGCATTTTTATAAATGGCTAAAAATAAGACAGTTCTTTGTAGCAAATAGAGCAATTAGACCTGAATGTCCTTCAAGATGTTTTGGAGCATAATAGCAAGGCTTTATATAGTTACCACTTCCCAAACCCAAAATTAAAGTATATTCCAGGAAGCAGTAGGGTACTTAGGGTTCAAATAATTACCATTTATTAAACACCTTTTATGTTTGCTATGTGCTTCATCTTACTTAATTCTAACATAGGCGGGCCAAGATAAACAGGACACTCTTGAAACATAATTTCTGGATTTGTTTAACATTTAATGGGGGTGGGACAAAACATATTTAAATAATGTTTTTTGAGACGGAGTCTCGCTCTGTCGCCCAGGCTGGAGTGCAGTGGCACCATCTCGGCTCACTGTAACCTCCACCTCCCAGGTTCAAGCAATTCTCCAGCCTCAGCCTCCCGAGTAGCTGGGATTACTGGCGTGCACCACCACACCTGGCTAATTTTTGTATTTTTAGTAGAGATGGGGTTTTACCATGTTGGCCAGGTTGATCTTGAACTCTTGACCTCTGGTGATCCACCCGTCTCAGCCTCCCAAAGTGCTGAGATTACAGGCGTTAAGCCACCATGCCCAGCCTAAAAAACAATTTTTTAAAAAATTTAGATAGAGACAGGGTGTTGCTATGTTGGCCAGGGTAGTCTCTAACTCCTGGCCTCAAGCAGTCCTCCCACCTCAGCTGTCCAAAGTGCTGGAAATACAGGTGTGTGCCACTATGCCCAGCCGCAAATTATTTTCTATTAATACAAACTGTATATAGCTGGCCGAGCGGCTCACGCCTGTAATCCCAGCACTTTGGGAGGCCGAGGTGGATGGATCACAAGGTCAGGAGTTTGAGACCAGGCTGGCCAACATAGTGAAACCCTGTCTCTACTAAAGATACAAAACATTAGACGGGCATGGTGGCAGGTGCCTATAATCCCAGCTACTCAGGAGGCTGAGGCAGGAGAATCACTTGAAGCTGGGGGGCGGAGGTTGCAGTGAGCTGAGATGGTGCCATTGCACTCCAGCCTGGATGACAGAGTGAGACTCCGTCTCAACAAACAAAAAACAAAAACTGTATGTAGCTGTCAGGGAGGAAATACAAGTTTTTTCCTCAACTCTCATGAGTTCTTAGTTGGGATGGATTCCTGTAACAAGGCATATTAACAACAGAAAAACAAGTTTATCAGTGTGTGTAGTACACATCACATAGGAGAAACCTCCATGAAACATAACCTAAAGTAGTGGCTTAGAACTCTAGTTCATACAGCATCTTCAACAAAGAACAATACATTTGTAGAGAAATGACAAGACAAAGGAAAGTGGTTTTAGGCTTCCAAGGACTGGAACCTTTGGGAAGGCAAACACTGTATGTGGGAAGAAACGAATTGAGTAAGATTTCTTTGCCAATTCCTCTGGTGCTGTCCCTGGTAGATAAGACTCTAGAATTGTCTCCAGCAAAGAATTTATATCCTTCCTTTGGGCAGAAAGGCAGGGGGATGGGGAGAGCTTTCCTCAGTTTGCTGCTTCTTAACTGCCTTTAGCTCAAAAATATTTTTATGTCAAAGAGGCATTTTAGGATGATATATTCTGATTTCCTTCATAGCAAAAGATGCATGGATTTCTACTGGTGGCCGTCGGTGTTCTTTAAAGACGTGCATGCACACATATACATCAGCTGTCAACCATTCCCTTTTTCCCATTGTTCTTTCCTCTTAGGTTTTTCCTTAGCAAGTGTCTGAATCTACATCTTGACAGGTATAAATTTAGATAATTAGTCACCTGTTCCCAATAAATACCATTACAGCATGCCTTACCTGTGGCTGAATTTCAGGTGATTATAGCTTCACATGCTAGGTCTGTTTAGAGTAAACAGTGTAACTTTCCACTCACGGCCATTGTCTTCTGCACTAGGGATATGCTCAGAGAGCATTTCCCCGATTATTCAGTAATGTTTCAAGTCCCTGTTAAGGTTAATATCCTGGGTAGCAACTAAACTGGCTTGTTCCTTAATCTACTCTGTTCATTCCAACTCTCCAAATTAATCACTATTAATCCCCACTATACAGTGAGTTATCAGTAGCTCAGTTTAACCTGCCAGAGGCCTTTTATTGTGGCAGAGCAGTGATTTCAACAATTTTTGTTTGATTCCAAAACTTACTTTCTTTCTACTACTGGCAAATACCGTAAAAGGGTAATAGATAATTCTATGCTTTTGCCTAATTTAAGGGAAAGATGTAATTCACATTCAAGTTTTTAACAACTGTATTTTGAACATTTTACTAGAAGTGACCATTAAATCTAAGTAGTTATTACTAAAACAAGCTCAGTAAAACCATTAACCTATGGCTTCAATTATATAGCACTAATTATAATGGTATATCTTTCACTGTAACCATTTTAAATTTGTACATTTTGTCAACTACAACAGGGCTGTTTATTGGGATGGTAATGGAAAGTAAAAACATTAAACCCGATGTGCAAAAGGAACAAGTTTTTTTTTCCCCCCCCAGGGATGGGGTCTCGCTTTGTTGAAAAGAATGATGTTGACAGATGTACTTGTGATAGTTATATTTATTAAGCAAAAGAAAATTATGTTTTGTTTTTTAAGGATTAATCTGTTTCTGATAATGTTGCATGTTTTAATAAATGACAATAAGATGTAACACATCACATTTTCTATTAAAATTGAACAAGATATTCAAATTGCTACAATATATCACACCTAATTGTTCCAGTACTATTTTATTTTATTTTTTAAGACCAAGTCTCATTCTGTTGCCCAGGCTGAAGTGCAGTGGCGTGATCTCAGCTCACTGCAATCTCCGCCTCCCGGATTCAAGCAATTCTCATGCCTCAGCCTCCCAAGTACCTAGGACTACAGGTGTGTACCACCATACCTGGCTAATTTTTATATTTTTAGTAGAGACGGGGTTTTGCCATGTTGGCCAGGCTGGTCTCAAACTCCAGGTTTCAAGCGATTTGCCTGACTCAGCCTCCCAAAGTTCTGGGATTACAGGCGTGAGCCATCGCACCCGGCCTCCAGTACTATTTTAAACAAATACATATTGTGGAGTAAGCACCAATAGAAATCAAGGCGGCAAAACTGTATCATTAGGAAAGTAAACAAAAGCCTTAGTCTTTTTGTTTATTCCTTATTCCCCAAAGGAGTTACTAAGCGAAGGAATTTTCTAGCTGCCTTTATTTATTTATTTATTTATTTATTTAGAGACGGAGTCATTCTGTTGGAGTGCAATGGTACGGTTTTGGCTCACCACAACCTCCGCCTCCTGGGTTCAAGCGATTATCCTGCCTCAGCCTCTAGAGTAGCTGGGACTACAGGCGTCCACCACCATGCCCGGCTAATTTTTGTATTTTTAGTAGAGACGGGGTTTCATTATGTTGGCCAGGATGGTCTCGAACTCCTGACCTCAAGATCAGTCCGCCTCGGCCTCCCACAGTGCTGGGATTACATGCGTGAGCCACTGCGCCCGGCCTTCCAGCTGCATTTCTGAGGTCACAAGTATGGCTTAAATGATTGCCCTCAAGAACACAGCTTTTGAAGGTAATATGCAAGTAAATTACAGTCAAATGAAACTGTATGATTATTTTGTTATTTTAATACTAAACTGAACAGTGAACTGAAATCAGAGGAGAAAGAAAATCAAGCTAGTGGCTCACTCTCGATAGTGTCTTCTAATTTTATTGATGCTTCAGTTTTCATAAAGTGCAATAAACAAAATAAATAGATGAAAAAAGCTTTGAAGATTTATATACAGTTTTGAGATTAAGATAAATTACTGACTATATGCCTTTCATTACGTTAACTCTGTGAAAGCTGTAACGTACATTAAAAGCGCACTGAATTAGGTTAAATAATGATCTTTCCCCCTTAGATCAATCTAGTATTAAGGAGTATATAATTATGCAAGCTTATTCTATAACACAAGGCTAGACTAAAAGGAAAATGTTTGTGCTACAGACTAAATCCAGATACGGTCAGGTGCTGAGCAGTATTCCTGGCTTCAAAATAGGAGGTATCTGTTTCGTCATCTGGCTGGGGGATGAAAGGCATAGTTTGATGCTGCACATTTTCCCAGTCCACATCACTGAAGAGAGGATGACGTTTTAGTTCTTAGAAAAAATATAAAACAAAACAGTATGGTCTCATTACCTAAGGAAGTACTGCTTTACAAGAACTATAAGAAGAGAATGTCTCACATATAACTTACCTTACTTTATTATGCCAGTTTCACAGACGTTTGTTTAATGTCTGTTAGGCCACATACTTCACAAAGGTCTACATGGGCCACTTTGAATACCACTTGGCATATGACAGGTCCCTGGTTTGTATTTGTTTAATGACAGAATGAATGATTTGCCTTAACTTAGAAGCCTATCTTTGTCACATCTTTTTTTTTTGTGAGACAGAGTCTTGCTCTGTCGCCCAGGCTGAAGTGCAGTGGCGCAGTCTGCTCACTGTAACCTCCGTCTCCCAGGTTCGAGCGATTCTCTTGCCCCAGCCTCCCGAGTAGCTAGGATTACAGGTGCACACCACCATGCCAGGCTAATTTTGTCTTTTTAGTAGAGATGGGGTTTTGCCATGTTGGCCAGGTTGGTCTCGAACTCCTGACCTCAGGTGATCTGCCCACTTTGGCCTTCCAAAGCCTGGCCCTCACATCTTTTTTTTTTTTTTTTTGAAATGGAGTTTCTCTTTGTTGCCCAATCCGGAGTGTGGTGGTGCAATCTTGGCTCGCTGCAACCTCCATCTCCCAGGTTCAGTGATTCTCCTGCCTCAGCCTCCCAAGTAGCTGGGACTACAGGTGAGTGGCCCCATGCCTGGCTAATTTTTTTTGTCTGTCACCTAGGCTGGAGTGTAGTGGCACAATCTCGGCTCACTGCAAACTCTGCCTCCCGGGTTCAAGCGATACTCCCACCTCATCCTCCTGAGTAGTTGGGATTACAGATGTGAACCACCACGCCTGGCTAATTTTTGTATTTTTAGTAGAGATGGGGTTTTACCATGTTGGCCAGGCTGGTCTCGAACTCCTGACCTCAAGGGATCCACCCGCCTCAGCCTCCCAAAGTGCTGGGATTATAGGTGTGAGCCACCGCACCCACCTTGCATCTTCTTACAGAATCCCTGACTCAAGGGAAGAGAGCATGGCCTACTTTCTGCTCCTTGATAAACCTTCCACGTCATTGATCTTCCATGATGAATGCTCCAATTCTTACTCTAAAACCTTGCCACTAGTTTCTGTCACCACATTCCTTAGCAATCAATATCTATTGCCCTAGACAGCTTTAGCATGAAGCTCACCCTCCTCTCCCTTTCTTCCCTGCACTCCGTCCTTATCCCTCATGGTGATTTCAAGATATACACGGAGGACACTTCTGACACGTTCTCTTCATGGTTCTTTGACTTCCTTGATTTCACTGACTTGCATCTCTACAACATACTGACTTCTAGCATATGGCTACATTGGAAGCTCTGTATCACAGAGCTGCTCTGCTTACAAGATTTCAAAGCCTTCCTCACCTCTTTACTGCCATTTCATTACCTGTCATTTTTCCTATTTCCTTCTACCTAGTAAAATAAAAGTATGCTCTTCTGGGCCAGGCGTGGTGGCTCATGCCTGTAATCCCAGCACTTTGGGAGGCTGAGGTGGGCAGATCACTTGAGGTCAGGAGTTCGAGACCAGCCTGGCCAACATGGTGAAACCCCATCTCTACTAAAAATACAAAAATTAGCCAGGTGTGGTGGGGCACACCTGCAGTCCCAGCTACTTGGGAGGCTGAGGCGGGAGAATCACTTGAACCTGGGAGGCAGAGGCTGCAGTGATCTGAGATCATGCCACTGCACTCCAGCCTTGGCAACAGAACAAGATTCCATCTAAAAAAAAATAAAAAAATAAAAAAAATCTTTCTTATGAGTGATAGTGTTTTTTATAATAGCAATCTGACCAATATGTTGCCTTTGGACACTCATATCTATTCTGAAATAACACTACAAGGACTCAATATGTCCAAATCCAATGTACAGCATCGGAAGTTGAAATGTGTGTGTTTATGTGTTTTAAGTAGCATAATCTAAATCTGAAGTGCCTTGAAAAAGGTAGAGCTGAGTTTCCAAATGTCTGCTCCCTTGCTTTACACAAGTTTCTGCTCAAATGCCTCTCTTCACAGAGGTCTTCCTGACCACACTGTCTAAAAAGAAGTCTCGTGCCATCACTTCATGTCCTCTCACCCTGCTTTATTTTTCTTCCTAGTATTTACCACTACATGACATTATGTTGTATCTGTAACTTTTCACTGTCTCTCTTTCCACCAGAATGTAAGTTCCACAAGGACAGGAGTCTGAGTCTAGATCATCCTTAGGGTATTCCCAGGGCCTGAAGCAGTATCACCTGGCTCCTAGAAGGCACTCTATAGGATTGGTTAAATCAGTGAGTAAACAAACTGGGCCAGGCGTTGTGGCTCATGCCTGTAATCCCAGTACTTAGGGAGGCCAAGGTGGGTGGATGGCTTGAGCCCAGGAGTTCGAGACCAGCCTGGGCAACACGGGGAAACCCCATCTCTACTAAAAATACAAAAATTAGCTGGGTGTGGTGGTGTGCACTTGTAGTACCAGCTACTTGGGAGGCTGAAGTGCAAGAATTGCTTGAGCCCAGAAGGTTGCAGTGAGCCGAGATTGTGCCACTGCATTCCAGCCTAGGCGACAGACCCAGAACCTGTCTCAAAAAAACCCCAAAACCAAAAAAAAAAAACCAACTATTGATCTTATTACAGGAACACCTAGAAGCTGATGCAAATGACATATTTCTGAAGCTCATTTTCCTGAATAAATCCTACTTGACATAGAAATGCATTTTGGGACATAATGCTTTTCTCTATATTACCATACCTCATTAGAAAAAGGATTTTAAAATCCCAGCACTTTGGGAGGCCAAGGCAGGAGGATCACATTCCAGGAGAGATCGAGACCATCCTGGCCAACTTGGTGAAACCCCGTCTCTACTAAAAAATACAAAAATTAGCTGGGCGTGGTGGCACATGCCTGTAGTCCCAGCTACTTGGGAGGCTGAGGCAGGAGAATCGCTTGAACCTGGGAGGCGGAGGTTGCAGTGAGCCGAGATCGCGCCACTTCACTCCAGCCTGGCGACAGAGCAAGACTCCGTCTCAACAACAACAACAACAACAAAAGCATTTTAAGGCAGCTGCTAATGAGATTTACTAGTTTCCAAATTAGGGTTTAAGATACTCCTGCATTAAGAAAACTATTGAGTGGTTTATAATATACCAAGTTTGTCATGAGCCAACCTGGGATCCAGTACATTTATCAATAAATAATAGTATAAAAAATGAAGCAATAAGAAATTACAGAACATCCCTCTAGCAAGATTAGGGAAAATAAATTTGTTTTAAAAAATTACAGAACAGAGGTTTTCATAAAAAAAGATTTCCTGTACTTCCTTAACTTTATCAGGCTTTGAAAAACCCAAGACACTAACAAGATTGTTTTAGGACAGGCATGGGTGGCTCACACCTGTAATTCCAGCATTTTGGGAGGCTGAGGTAGGAGGATCCTTTGAGCCCAGGAGTTCAAGACCAGCCTGAGCAACATACTGAGACCCTGTCTCTCAATAAATACATAGCAATAATAATGTATGTTAAAAAAAAAAAAAAAAAAAAAGAGGTAAGATTGTTTTAGATACTTGAGATTAATAATTTTTTTTTGAGACAGTCTCACTTTGTTTCCCAGGCTGGAATGCAGTGGCATGAACATGGCTCACTGTAGCCTTGACTTCCTGGGCTCAAGCAGTCTTCCTGCCTAAGCCCCCAAGTACCTGGAACTATAGGTGTGCACTGCCTTGCTTGGCTATTTTTTGTATTTTTTTGTAGAGACAGAGTTTCACCGTGTTGCCCAGGCTGGTCACAAACTCCTGAGCTCAAACGATTGCCAGCTGCAGCCTCCCAAAGTGCTAAGACTACAGTCATGAGCCACCACACCCACCGATTACTAAAATTTAATGCATGAATACAGTATTGCTATTTGACCACACTAAATTTTTTTTTGCCTCTTCTACCATGTGACACATTGAATTTTCATGTAGAATAAGGACCATATCAATGCATACCTAGAGGGCAGAAATAAATTGAATTATCTTTGTACCAATTTAGCAGTCAGATTATCTGTAGTATTATACTGGAACTTGATTTTTTTTTTTTTTTTTTGAGACAGAGTCTCACTCTGTCGCCCAGGCTGGAGTACAGTGGCACGATCTCTGCTCACTCTGCCTCCTGGGTTGAAGTGATTCTCCTGTCTCAGCCTCCCGAGTAGCTGGGACTACAGGTGTGCGCCACCACGCCTGGCCTAATTTTTGTTTTTGTTTTTTTTTTTTTTAGACAGAGTCTTGCTCCGTTGCCTGGGCTGGAGTGCAGTGGTGCAATCTTGGCTCATTGCAAGCTCCGCCTCCTGGGTTCACACCATACTCCTGCCTCAGCCTCCAGAGTAACTGGGACTACAAGCACCCGCCACCACGCCCGGCTAATGTTTTGTATTTTTAGTAGAAACGGGGTTTCCCCATGTTAGCCAGGATGGTCTCGATCTCCTGACCTCGTGATCTGCCTGCCTCAGCCTCCCAAAGTGCTGGGATTACAGGTGTGAGCCACCGTGCCCAGCCGGAACTTGCTATTTTTATAAATATTCACCATCTGGAACAAATCAATGGTAAAACAGTGTATTAACACAAAACTGTACCTTTCATTCCAGCTCTCTTTGTATCATCAATGGTTAAAAGTATTTCTACTGCACTTTGAGCATTATCAGATAACTTTTCTTCACCTTCTGGCCAAGGGATATCTAAAATTACACATATACAAATAAACTTGTTAATCACTGCTCAAAATAATAATACCCAGAGATAAATAACTACTTTTTTTTTTTTTCCTGAGATGGAATTTCACTCTTGTCACCCAGGCTGGAGTGCAATAGCGCGATCTCAGCTTACTGCAACCTCCACCTCCCAGGTTCAAGTGATTCTCCTGCTTCGGCCTTCTGAGTAGCTGGGATTACAGGTGCCCGCCAACACGCCCAGTTAATTTTCTGTATTTTTTTAGTAGAGATGGGGTTTTACCATGTTGGCCAGGCTTGTCTTGAACTCCTGACCTCAGGAGATCCACCCGCCTTGGCCTCCCAAAGTGCTGGGATTACAGGCATGAGCCACTATGCCCAGCCAGTAAATGACTATCTTAATAGGAGAAAAAGAATCACCTCTTTTCAGAATATTCTGAAATACTTGTTGCGGTGTTTCATCATTGAAAGGGGGAATTCCTGTTAGAAATTCAAACAAGCAAACTCCAAGTGCCCACCAGTCTACCGCAGGACCTGTAATTGAAGAGGAAACAGCTGAAGTGGCAAGCATTCTCTACAAATATGTGATGAACAGAAATATTAATTGTGGAGTCCTAATTAGGGAAAAGGAGTTAGGCTGGTCGGACTGGAGGAAGCAAAAAGAAAAAGCCGATAAGCTGCAAGTCTGCCTTTCTTCATGGTCCAAGATGTACAGCCCTCCTATACAAATAACTCACAATTGTCCTGTGTCCAGCTATCACCAGACCCTTGACTGATAGAAAAATGCAAGGTAGAGCTGGGTGCGGTGGCTCATGCCTGTAATCCTAGCACTTTGGGTGGCCGGGGAGGGTGGATCACCTGAGGTCAGGAATCCGAGACCAGCCCAGCCAACATGGTGGCTGTGTGTACTAAAAATAGAAAAATTAGCCAGGTGTGGTGGCACATGCCTGTAATCCCAGCTACTAAGGAGACTGAGGCAGGAGAATTGCCTGAACCTGGGAGGCAGAGGTTGCGAGCCTCGATCACGCCACGCCACGCCACGCCACTGCACTCCAGCCTGGGCGACAGAGTAAGACTGTCTCAAAAAAAAAAAAAAAGAAAAGAAAAGAAAAGAAAAGAAAAATGTGAGTTAGCTTACTGCAACCTTGGCGTTATCAGTATAGCACACAGCCTTCTCTAGCACAAGCACCACCCTATAACATCTCTAGCAAGCCTTTGTCTCCTTGTAATCAGCTCCCCTCTCGGTGACTTGCTGGTTGCATCCTTACAATGTGTTTTCCTACTTCCTCTAATAAACCTGCCTTTCTTTACCTACGACTGTCTTGGTCAATTCCTTTATTGCCCACACCGTCAGCCCCAGATAGTCACTATCTGCAACATTAATATGTACACATTTTGGCATTATCAAAAGTGCAAAAACCCACATTGCTTTCACTTGGGCAATGTGATAACTGCTTTCCTCTTTATTTTCCAAGAAGTTTAGATTACCAATTACCACAGCTGATTAAAGAAAAGATAAAGCCATTTTTTTCATTTATTAATAATTTCTGACATTCTGGATATGTTATGTATCCTAAATCCTAAAATTATTCTCTAAAATAGGCAGACTACTACTCAATTTCATATCAGGAAATGTAAACATTTACATGATTATTCTGTATCCTGCACAGAGATAAGGCAGCAACATTTATAGTAATTGAAAGAAAGCCTGGTAACTAGGGAAGGCCTTACTTACAGAGTAGTTTAATGGGGCTTTATTCCTTTTAGGAACACAGAGGGACAAATTAGTTTAGCAAAGAGTATTCACTTAAACTACGGTTTCAAGATATAAGTAGGAGATGTCTTAAGAAATAGGCAAAATTGATTTCTAAATAAAATATTCATTGGACGCAACATTTACATACAAAGTTTTTTGTTGTTGTTTGTTTTTTGAGGCGGAGTCTCACTCTGTCGCCCAGGCTGCAGTGCAGTGGTGCGATCTCAGCTCACTGCAAGTTCTGCCTCCCGGGTTCACGCCATTCTCCTGCCTCAGCCTCCCGAGTCGCTGGGACTACAGGCGCCCACCGCCACACCCAGCTAATTTTTTTCTGTTTTTTTAGTAGAGACGGGGTTTCACCATGTTAGCCAGGATGGTCTCAATCTCCTGACCTCGTGATCTGCCTGCCTCAGTCTCCCAAAGTGCTGGGATTACAGGCGTGAGCCACTGCACCCGGCCACAGAGATGTTTTTAACAGTAATTTAAAATATGATCTTCTAAACCATAAACTAGTTTATACTTTAGTTCTATGAATAAAGTGTTTCCTAAGAAAAGGTTAATTTTAGTTCAAAAATGGATAACTTCAATATAAATTAAGAATAGGGATCCTAGTCTAGTGCTAAATTTGCCTGAAAGTTACTCTTTAAAGACAACTTCACAAAATTCTTTATTGTGGTTAAAAAACTGCCACCATTCCATTTGAAGACAACTAGGAAAGCATTGTGGAATCTGATCTTAGGAAAAATAGCTGCATGCATTTAGAGTGCCATTTTACCTGCAAGCCATATAATCCCATCTTCCCTTAAAGGAACACAAAATGCAAATATTCTATAGGCTTCTATTTCTATAATACTATAAAAACATACAAACCACCTCAGTTAGTAGGCCTTTCAAGCAGCGCTGAGAAAGGATTATCCCAACGGATTAGATAATGTAACCAAATAACAGAAAAGTAGGGGGAATTAGGAAAAAAAAATGTACTTATTTTACTTATTAGGTTAGAAATTAGGCCCCTTTTACCAGCTCAGCTAAAATATACTTGGGTTAAAAAAAAAAAAAATACATGATTTCTGCATGGATATGCCACACATACCCATATACTTAAGTCAAAGTCTAAGAAGATCACATAGTGGAATAAAACTTTGCAATTATACGTTATTAGCCACAGAAAAAGAACAGACTTGTTTTACATTGGTGGCTTTCTAATTCAAAACTCACTCCTTTAGTTTATAGGATATGTTGATATTGTTACACTTTTTTATTTTCTAATGATAATAAAAGATTTGGAAAATTAGAGCCCTTCTGTAATTGTTAATTTTTTTTTTTTGAGATGGAGTCTCACTCTGTCACCCAGGCTGGAGCGCAGTGGTGCAGTCTCAGCTCACTGCAACCTCCGCCACCCGGGTGCAAGTGATTCTCCTGCCTCAGCCTCTTGAGTAGCTAGGATTACAGGCATGAGCCACCACATCCAGCTAATTTTTGTCTTTTTTTAAGTGGAGACAGGGTTTCGCCATGTTGGGCAGGCCGGTCTCGAACTCCTAACCTCAGGTGACCTACCTGACTCAGCCTCCCAAAGTGTTAGCATTATAGATGTAAGCCACAGTGCCAGCCATTTTTAATATTTGTATCAATACTATTTCTTCTGTTGTAATAAAAAAGACTTTATCTTCACTCTGTGCTACCTTTAGAAGTTAATAAAAAAATGCCTCAGGCCTACATTTCTTTTCACAGAGAAGAACCACCTCTCTGGATGTCTTGCTGCTGAGAAGACAGAAGATAGTTCATTTTTGTATTTCACAAGTGAGCTAAAAGGAAAAATAATTTTTTATGCAATGTGATCTAGTTATACTTTGACTGTTCAGTTTAATGTGCTTTGCCGCATTACTTTATAGAGAAGCTTACTCACCAGAAGTCAGAAATCCTGCACATAAGAAAACAGTAGTTAGGTATATTGCATTAAAATTATTAGAGTCCCCTCTTCATTCACTGAACTGGGCACCAGGTATTGTGCCAGATATAAAAGATACAAAGAGGATTAAGGAAAATCTCTTTTCCCAAAGAGAAACCAGCCTACTCTGGGAGAGACAATACAGAGAATTTTAACACACTAAGCTGAAACAAAAAGGTGCACATAAAGTTATGGAAAACTCAGGACAGAGTCCCTGGCTCATCTCTGCTGAGAGGCAAGATGGAGGGGCATCAGGAAGGTCATGGTTGGGTCTCAGCATGTTGTCAGCATGTTGTTTAGCTGAGGGAGCTAGATGTCTCACTAAAACAGTGGCAAGATGCTATAAAATACATCTTTATGTTTGAAGCTTACTTTCACACTCTGTCCTTAGAGATAATGCAAATTATAATACAGAAAATGGGCTAGCAAATCTGTGACAGAGCAAAAGAGGCACTATATAAAAATCAGTGCTCACAGGAATTTATTTGCTTTGGCTAAGAGAGAAAGAGGAACATTAAATGTGGCTATTTCCAATATTATAGAGATTATTAATATCAGTTACTGAGTGCTTCCAAGGAATTCAGGAGTGCTATGCAGACGGTAGAAAACTCACACTCTTGGCTGGGTGCAGTGGCTCACGCCTGTAATCCCAGCACTTTGGGAGGCTGAACACTTTGGGTGGATCACGAGGTAAGGAGTTCAAGACCAGCCTGGCCATGATGGTGAAACCCTGTCTCTACTAAAAATACAAAAATTAGCCAAGCATTGGGGCGGGTGCCTGTAAGCTACTTGGGAGGCTGAGGCAGACAATTGCTTGAACCCAGGAGGCGGGAGTTGCAGTGAGCCGAGACTGCGCCACTGCACTCTAGCCTGGGCGACAAAGTAAGACTCTCTCTCAAAAAAAATAAAAAGGAAAGAAAGAAAACTCACAGTCTCCTCAAGAAGTTTTCTTAAGCTTTTGTAGTGGAGATAAATTAACAATTAATTACAACACAGGAAGAATGTCATATTTTAAACAGTTTCTAATAAGGTAACAGAAGTGAATAATTCCCAGTAGTTGATCAAGGGATGCTTTATGTTAGAGGTAACATTTGAAATGATGAAATGAGAAGAATTTGACTGGAAGATACTAGGAAACTGGCCTTGCTCAAAGAAGGTTAAATACACAAGCAAAATAAGGAAGACCTGAAAATTAAATGTATTTAAGAAATGGAATGGGAACATAAGGCATATAAAGAGACTCTTTGAGAGACAAGGCTGGTATGAGAGCTATAACCTCAAATGCCATGATCAATTTGGATTTTACTTAGCAGCTAAGAGGCAGCCACTGTAGTTTTCTGAGAAGGGAAATAGAATGAGCCATGTGATGGTTTGGGAAGAAAAATCTGGTGGCAATGATTATTGATAGGACTCACCACCAAGAACACACGCAGAGACCCTCGCGTCTAGCACAACAAAAAAAAACAAAAAGGAACTCATCTTTCTCTTTTATTATTTTCAGTGCCCTTCTATCTGCTCCTACTTCACTTCATACTCTACAATATGAAAACAGTCCACGC